TTCAAAGACAGGGATACTTAGACAATAATGATTGCTTTAAAAGTTAGCATTAAGATAATAAATGAATATTGCAGTAGAGAAATACAATTAGGCTGAAAATGCCTGAAGTAACCCATACGGCTCAATATATATAATGTTGTTTATGTAACGCTTTATGATTTTTTAAGTACCTTTAAATTTTGGGGGCAGTGTTTTTCTATGGCCGTCAATTAAATCTTCAATTGTTTCCTCAATGGGGAATCCTACTAAGCAAACTTGTGCAGGAATGAACATTTGCGTAACAATGAAACATAAATCAACAAGCAAGCTACATTCACAGTCAAGACAAGTGTGACTAAAGAAGCAGAGAAGGGGAAAGATTAGAGGAAATTGTTGAAATGGCTGGTGACAGGGAATGAATTTGCCAAATTAAGTGGTTACCACATCATTCGTGATTCCTGGAACAAAAGGTCACTGAACTACCGACGAGGATGGGATTCGAACCCACGCGTGCAGAGCACAATGGATTAGCAGTCCATCGCCTTAACCACTCGGCCACCTCGTCACATGAAGCCCGAGCAAATTGAATTTCTTCCTCTGTGTAGTGTTCCCAGTGAGTCTTGTAGCAACATGATCTAATCGTTTTCTCCTGGTTTAATCCTCATAACTACAGTCTGAGTCAGGTGTCTTAATTAAGGCACATTTCACAACCACCATAAAAATGACGGATGTCACTTTGAGTAGTGAAGTTACTTGGCAAATACTCAATAATAGGTTGAACCAGTGCCGGCATTCGTTGGTAGACACAAAGCACCTGCTTTCTCAGGGACCCGGCTCCAGCCGGCCGCCCTGCTTGCCCTAGGGACACACTGGGCCCTTCGCGGGTCCTTCTGCCGCTTTATTCTGCATTCAAGGGGTTGATTTGCTTCCCGAGGTGATCTAAACGTTCACCTTACTTTCCTGTTTTCTGTGACGTGCCAGAAACCTGACTCTGCAACTCCTTTTCATTGGCTTCTGTAATTTGCCCGGGAGCCAAGAGATGCCCTCCTTTCTCTTGTTACTTTGGCTTTTGTTACTTTCACTAGGAGTCGGGACTGATCAGTCTGTGATTAATCAGCAACAGATGAGAACGTGGTTTGTTTTGTTTTTGTTTTAACAAAAATTAAACGTGCGCAGGCGCCCCGATGGCGCTCCTCTGGCTTTGATCAGGACAGTTAAAGAAAGAAAGTCTTTTTGTGTCTAGCACAAGATTGGCTCAGTCCAGCTGCTACGCGCGCTGGGAAGGGCCTGTGTGGGTGCGGGTAACCCCCTGGGGCGGGAATCAGTGTTTCGTGGTCCTAATTGTGTCTCTTAACTAAGCTACCTCACTACATCCAACCCCACCTTGGGAAGCAGAACAGTAACCCCTAACGTCCCTTCCAGCTCTGGCAACCTCAATTATAAAATGGTCCACAAAAAAAGAAGCCTCAGGCTGGGCGCGGTGGTTCACGCTTGTAATTCCAGCCCTTTAGAGGCCAAGATGGGTGGATTGCTGGAGCTCAGAATTTCGAAACCAGCCTGGGCATCATCGAGAAACCCTGTCCCTACAAAAATTGCAAAAATTAGCCGGGCGTAGTGGCCTGCACCTGTGGTTCCAGCTACTCAGGAGGTGGAGGCGGAGGATTGCGGGAGCCCAGGAGGCCCCGAGGCCACAGTGAGCCGTGAGCCCTGATTCCGCCATTGCACTCCAGCGTGGGCAACAGAGTAAGACCCTGTCACAAAAAAAAGAAAAAGGAAGGAAGGAAACAAGGGAGGAACGGAGGAAGGAAGGAAGGAGGGAAGGAAGGGAGGGAGGGAGGGAGGGAGGGAGGATGGATCTCACACGCGTGAGAGTTTGTGTGCTTTTTGATATTTGGCGCAGAATTTTGGAAGGGAAAGTTTTTCTTTCTACCTGAAGAATGTTGGTGCTTTTTTCCTCCCCATGAAATGTCCTACTTCTGTTCTCAGCTTTTTTGGGAAGGGCTCTTTTTTTCCTCTCACCCATGTTTCTTCACAAAATTAAAAATACCTTCGGTCAGCACAAAACTACCGTCAGGGGAACTTCATCCACAATACTGAATGAAACCATGATATTTGTTCCTTTGAGGGGGGCAAGTGTATTTCATTTTTTCTTACACTTTGAGTCATCCACTACCGCTTACATTCCTTGTTCAGAGACTCAGGAGCCACCTCATTTCATTACAGTAACTTTAGAACTGGTGACCAGGAGAAGCTTTGAGGACAGAATTTCTGCTATTAACTAACTAAATTTGACTTAGACCACTCTCCCTTTAACTACAGGACAGAGATTATATTTGAGTGATGATATTTTACACCAGTGCAAGAGTAAGCAAACAGTAACTATTGTTAAATGAATTAACGAAACGTTCTAGATTTCTAATACAAACTCTAAGCACCAGAATTGAGATACCTTAGAAAGGGTATTTTCTTTTTTTTTTTTTTTTTGAGACGGAGTTTCGCCCTTGTTACCCCAGGCTGGAGTGCAATGGCATGATCTCGGCTCACCGCAACCTCCGCCTCCTGGGTTCAGGCAATTCTCCTGCCTCAGCCTCCTGAGTAGCTGGGATTACAGGCACACGCCACCATGCCCAGCTAATTTTTAGTATTTTTAGTAGAGACGGGGTTTCACCATGTTGACCAGGATGGTCTCGATCTCTCGACCTCGTGATCCACCCGCCTCGGCCTCCCAAAGTGCTGGGATTACAGGCTTGAGCCACCGCGCCCAGCCTGGGTATTTTCAATTAATTAAAACTTGTGGCTTAACAATACCAATTTTTTAAAAAAAAATCACAAAGTTGTGATGACTATGAGTTTGTTTCAGTAAAATGAGTAAAAATTATCTGGTAAATAGTAATCACTGAGTACATCATTTGACGTAATTGTTTTTATCACTAATAAATAAATTACTAATTAATGACATAAAAATATATGTGATTTAAAAAGGGAAGCCAGTAGGAAAAAAAAAGGACCAAAAATCATGTATGATCAATTCACAGAAGAAAGTAAAATGGTTAATGAACGCATTTGAAGATGCTTCGCTTGTATGTAAGGATATGCCATTTAAAACATTAATATCATATTCACCTCCTCTACTGCCACTTTAGATTTCTGAAATACTGTCGATGCAAGTATAAATTGGTCCACCAGACTAAAGCACAAGTTCATACCCTTTTTTCTTTCCTTTTTTCCTTAAACCTACTAGTCAATCCACTAGTAGAAAATTATGCCAGAGATAATACCTACTGAGTGTGAAATACACACAGACACACACATACATGCAGACACGTATAGTGCAGTGGAACACTAGTTTTAGTAGTTAAACATTAAAATTACCCAATGTCCACCAAAGTGGAATACTTAAATAAATTATGATTAAGTAAAACATTAAAATGGTATGTGATTATTAATAAAAATAACGCAGTTCTAAATGTAAGTTTGTAAATATTTTCCCACTTTTTTTTTTTTTTTTTTTTTTTTTTTTTTTTTGAGACAGAGTCTCAGTCTGTTACTCAGGCTTCATGCAGTGGGACAATTTCAGCTCATTGCAACCTTCATGTCCTGAGTTCAAGCGATTCTCCTGCCTCAGCCTCCCAAGTAGCTGGGATTACAGGTGCCCGCCACCAGGCCCAACTAATTTTTGTATTTTTAGTTGAGATGGAGTTTAACCATGTTGGCCAGGCTCGTCTTGAGCTTCTGGCTCAAGTGATCCACACGCCTTGGCCTCCCAAAGTGATGGGATTACCGGCATGAGCCACTGTGCCCAGCCTATTTTCCCACTTCTAAGTTTTTTTAAAAAAGGCAAGTTGCAGAACAGTATGTATAGTATGGTTGCTTGTTTTACGTGATAGAGAGTTTAGATATTTAATATTGGTGAGGGCCATTTAGCTTCAGCCTCAATTTTTTGAAGGTTCTAAACAGACTTTTCATGTTATCTTTAAAGGAGTCTTATGTATGTGTATATATTATAGATAAAACCACTGTGTATCTTTTGTTAAAGGTTTTCAATATTCCCAATATTTTCAAGTCTTATTTGGCATTTAATTTTTATATACCGAAAATGAACATGGAATGAACTTTTTGTGACTTCTAGAAGGCTCTGATTAACATAAAAAAATCCAGAAGGATGCATACTACTTCTTAACAGCTGGTATCTCTAAGAATGGGTCTATAAAGCTTTTTAGCTTTCTAGAACAGATAGTGCTGTGAGGAACCAGGGCACTTCGTGCTGGGGGAAGTAGAGCCGGTGCCCACTGCAGGGGGAGGAGGCTGGCAGTGCCTGCCTGGGCTGGACCAGCAGTTGCCCACTTGAGGTCAGTGGGGAGGATGGAGTGGGTGGGGTGGCAAGGGCTTTGGTGCCTTCTGGTGATGGGACCTTGATGCCAAGTGCCCCACATGCCAAAAAAAACCCGCAAGGCTCCGGCTCTCCCGGCGGCCGGGGCTCTGCGCTCGGGGCGGCCTCTCCGTCCGGAGCGGCCCTGAGCTCCACTCGGCATCGCTAACGGGGACAGTGGCTGCCTTAGGCTCTGGGACTAAGGAGGGGTAGGTGAGGTGTGACTTTTTTTTTTTAAGATGGAGTTTCACCATGTTGGTCAGGCTAGTCTTGAACTCCCGACCTTAGGTGATCCGCCCGCCTTGGCCTCCAAAGTGCTTGGATTACAGGCGTGAGCCACCACGCCCGGCCGAGGGGTCTGACATTTTAATAACTTTGTTGTCTGAGGGTTTTTTCAAAAAGGTATTAATTTTTAAAAATGCTTTGCATCAGCATTTTCAATACTTAACGGCCTATGCTTCATTAACGTTTTCCGTTTAAAACCTGGGTGCGGCCCACACACGTAGGACCTTCTGATTCTGTGATTCGCGCCAAAAAAGACCTGGACACCAGGAAAATGGGGGCGGAGTCCGCGGTGAGCTGGACGCCGGAGGCAGGGCATCGAGACGCGGAGTCCTAGACCGGCCCGGAAGTGCGTCTGCCAGGTCCGCGCTCGAGGAGGGGTCGGCGTCTTTCCCGCCAGGCCATTGTTCGTGCGGCGCTCCTAGCAACGCCGGGCCGGTAACCCCCGCTCGCACCTCGCGCCTTCCGGGTCTCGTGAGTTGGCGTGGGGACCGGGAATGGAGGCGGGGAGGGGAAGGTGGGGCTGGGAAAGGGGTGTCGAAAGTGAACTTCAGCCTCCGGGAAGTGGGAGCCGGAGGAGGGGGCGGCGGTTAGTGTCGCGCGGCTTCGGGCGTCCCCTAGACCAGGATGGTCATCCCCGACTGCGAGGACATTCCCCGAGAGGGAGTTGTGGGAAGACTGCGAGGCTAAAGGGTCACTTCCGTGAATAACGACCACAGGGTTAGAACTCTGGAAAGAAACTCTGGGCAGAGGAAGTTAAGGATAAATTGGACTTTGGCAGCCTTCAAGATGGAGAGCCCTGTATACCCTCTCACTTCTAGATTCTAGAAGCGAATTGAGGGGCGTTGAATGGACTGGTTGTCAAGTGCAGAATGTAACAGTTCCTCATTCCCTTTTCCTTAGTTCCTTGATTCTCAAACCTTAAAATACGTACAAATCGCTGAGGCGCCTGTTGAAGGTGGATATTCTAGGGCTCGCTGCACTTCTCTCCACGCCCAATTCACATTCCCCGGATGTCGCCGTAGGGCCGGTCAGGCTGGGATCCCCCTGCTGCGCGGTGTACTTCCTGACGTTTCGGAGGCACCCGTTTTGGAAACATCCCCTGGGTTTCGGGAGCTGCCTGGGTCTGAGGAGAAAACTTCTCCCTTGGGCTTCTTTGGCTTCTTATGATTATCCTCACAAAGAAGTTGACCTTGGGCAATCTACTTAACTTTCCCTGGCTTCCATCTCTTATCTAGTGAAATAATTATTATAATAAAACCTGACTGGGTAATTGTGAGAATTAAATATGGTCTTGTACCTGAAAGCATATTGTAGACTTGCGCAGTGTTGACTGTGACTCTTAAGTAGCAGCAGGGCAGTGTGGAAAGCTCACAGGACTTGCAGTCCACTAAAGCCTTTCTTTCTGTAAATTTAGTGAAAATAATACCAACTTTAAATGGTTGTTTTGAAGATTAAGAAAACTGAGGTAAATAGTAAAGAAAATGTTAGCTCATTCATTTAGTCGACAGTAACAATATTCCCATTTATTCTTTCTCTAATTTGATGTTTATACAGTGAGTTGAGACTTTTTATTCAGACTTTCTGAGTTACCTGTGCAGTCCCTAATTCATGGGATGTTTTCCTTTGTAAACTCTGTAAGGTATTATTGCTATTTATTTTTCACATAAACCCAGAATGATTTAAGAACTTGGCACAAGTTCACACAACTAGTAAATGTTAGGATCAGAATAAAACCTAGGTCTGGGCCAGGTGTGGTGGCAGACACCTGTAATCCCAGCACTTCTGGAGCACTTTGGGAGGCCAAGGTGGGAGGATCACTTAAACCCAGGAGTTTGAGGTTGCACTGAGCTATGATTATGCCACTGCACTCCAGCCTGGGAAACAGAGTGAAATTCCCCATCTTTAAAAAAAGAAAGAAAACCCACATCTGGGTAACTTGAAAGCCTATGCTCTTTGCACATTAGGAATATATATAGTACCATTATTTCCATCCTTTGGTCACCATGTCACTTTTCAGCGAATAGCTTTAGGGTCTATGATAATTGCTTGTATTATCAGTTTCTGTCATCAGCTATTGCCATTTTTCTGTATAAATAATTATTTTTACTGCTTAGGCAGGCACCTCCAAGGTGTGTCTTGAAGCATAGCTCCAGCTGGAGGGTACCTTTTAAGCTGTTCAAGGTCAAGATGAATACAAACTCAAAGGAGGTTTTATCCCTGGGTGTTGAAGTTCCTGAGGCATGGGAAGAACTTCTGACAATGAAAGTGGAAGCAAAAAGTCACCTTCAAAGGCAGGAATCCAGGCTGAAACGCAATAATCCACTAGCAAGGGAAATCTTCCGAAGGCACTTTCGACAGCTGTGCTACCAAGAAACCCCTGGACCAAGGGAGGCTCTTACCCGACTCCAGGAACTTTGCTACCAGTGGTTGAGGCCACATGTGAGCACAAAGGAGCAGATTTTGGATCTGCTGGTGCTGGAGCAGTTTCTGTCCATCCTGCCCAAGGAGCTCCAGGGCTGGGTGAGGGAACACTGTCCAGAGAGTGGAGAAGAGGCTGTGATTTTGCTGGAGGATCTGGAGAGAGAGCTCGATGAACCACAAGATGAGGTAGGAAGGGAGATTTGCTAGAGAAAAGGGTGTATTTTGAGATGCCAAGAATCCTTGTATCTGCTTTGTGTCTCCTTGACATTGGTAATAAAATACCTTTCTTCCTGTTTCCTTCTTTCTTGGAAGTGTTTATTTCAGACAGTTCATTTCTTCAAAAGTCAAATCTTGTCTTTTTGTCCCCAGATGGTAGCCCACAGACACAGACAAGAAGTCCTCTCTAAAGAGATGGTGCCTTTAGCAGAGCAGACGTTACTGAGCCTTCAGTCCCAGCCTAAGGAACCCCAGCTCACATGTGACTCTGCTCAGAAGTGCCATTCTGTTGGAGAGACAGGTGAGGGACAGGACTTATTTGATGTTGAACGAATCTCACCTGGTCAAGCAAAAACAAATAATAAACCCAGAGCTGGGGAGACAGGAGATCCAAAGACTCCTTACCAGATAACAGCAATGTTCAGTGCTTCTGAGAACCTAGTGTGCTCATTTTTGATCCTTCTCCCTGTGTGCAGACTTCTACCTGAATACCATCCTGGAAGCTCTCTGGACTTCTGATGCATAGTAAATTAGGAAGGCTTTCGGGGATCACTGTGGAGCAGAGCTTCAGAGAATGGACTTTAAGGTTTGACAGACAGGGTCAGATCCTGGCCTTGCCTCATGAAAGCTGCCTTTATTGGGCAGATTACTTAACCACTTGACCTCAGATCCCTCATCTACAAAATGGGATTGATAATAGCTTTGGTTTAGTTTATTTGTGCTGCCTTAAGAGAGTGACACAGACTAGGTGTCTTTAACAGAAATTTATTTACTCACATTTTTGAAGGCTAGTAAGTAGTCTAAGAATCAAGATGCCATCAGGTTTAGTTTCTGGTGGGGTCTCTTCCTGGCTTACAGATGGCCATCTTCTTGCTGTATCCTCACATGGCCTTTCCTTTATGTGCATAGAGAGAGAGAGCAAGCTCTGGTGTCTCATCTTCTTATAAAGACATACCTGTCCTACTAGATAGGGCCCTACCTTATAACCTCATAAAACTTTTAATACCTCCCTCAAGGCTGTATCTTCAGATATAATCATATTGATGGTTAGGACCTCAACCTAGGTGAGGGGATATAATTTAGTCCAGGTGTCCCCAAACCTTTTACACAGGGGGCCAGTTCACTGTCCCTCAGACTGTTGGAGGGCTGCCACATACTGTGCCCCTCTCATTGACCACCAATGAAAGAGGTGCCCCTTCCTGAAGTGCGGCAAGGGACGGGAAAAAGGGCCTCAGGGGGCCGCAGTTTGGGGACGCCTGATTTAGTCCATAACCAGTATGTACCTCAGAAAGTCATTGTGAGCATCAAATGCAAACAATTTATGAAAAGCACTTGGCATACATTATTCTTAATACATGGTCGCTATTGTCACCTCTCACCATTGCCACCCTTGCCGATTTGGGCTCATACTTGCAGTAGAAAGATAGGAGATATGCTTAGTAAGTGGCAGAATGTATGAGAAAATGCAATGAAATCACACTTTGCCATTTTCTTCTCTGTTATCTGAGTGGTGGTAGTAGCCACCCTTGTGGATACAGTACTGAACACTTGGGACTGAGTCAGCTGCTTTCCCAGTCTAGCTCTCTCTGCGGGAATTGGCTCCGGCTTGTCTAGTTTCCCACACATAAAATCATACCCTCCTACTGACTTTTTGTTAATCTTCTGACAATCTTTAGCAAAGTTCCGCTGTTTCCAGTTTCACATTACCCCCATATGCATCAAAGCTGCAACTTCCCTTGCCTCTTTGTCTCTAGCTTCTGTTTATTTCATTTGCCCTAGCAATTGTGGATTTCTATTACATGGAACACATCTCTTGATTTAAATTAAAGTGTATGTGTTGAGTAAATTCTGCGCAGACCTTCCTATAGCTCCCATGACTATCAGATTTTAATTGCTCCTGACATAATTTTCCCTCTTAATGAACTTCTTTCCAGTCAATTTCTTTGTTTCTTCTTCCTCTTTCTATGAACTTGGACCTTTTATTTTCTAGCCGCCACCTTTCTTCTGCCTTCCAAACTACATCTAGAACTTTGCTGAGAACCCCCTTTTCTAAGAAGCACATCTAAATTGTCCACCTATCCACTCATCCATCCATTCAACAAATGTTTGTAAAACATCTACTATGGCTGTCAGAGAGTATCCAGAGGGCATCTACAGATTGGAGAGTTCTCCCTGTAAGATATCAGTGCAGCTTGGCCGGGTGCGGTGGCTCAAGCCTGTAATCCCAGCACTTTGGGAGGCCGAGGTGGGTGGATCACGAGGTCAAGAGATCGAGAACATCCTGGTCAACGTGGTGAAACCCCGCCTCTACTAAAAATACAAAAAATTTAGCTGGGCATGGTGGCACGTGCCTGTAATCCCAGCTACTCAGGAGGCTGAGGCAGGAGAATTGCCTGAACCCAGGAGACGGAGGTTGTGGTGAGCCGAGATCATGCCATTGCACTCCAGCCTGGGTAACAAGAGTGAAACTCCATCTCAAAAAAAAAAAAAAAGATACCAGTGCAGGTATGTGTTACAAATTTAGGTAAAGCCAATATTATAAAACAACATATGTTTGAAATTACAAGGACCAAATTTAAGTTCCAGCTTTTCATCTTAGCCAAGCAATATTTAATAGGTAAGTTTGAGTTTCTGTTTAAGTTATGCTGATTCTTTAAAAATCTAAATAATACAAAAGTTTATGTAGTAACAAATGAAAGTTCTCCAAATCCTACTCCCTAGAGGTAACTACTCTTGTCACTTTGCTACATATTTTCCAGACATTTCTCTATATAGTCTGTCTACCCATACATGTATGTATCTTCCCATATTTTTCTATGGTTCTTTAAAGACATGGGATAACATCAAGGAGTTCTGTGGTGAGTCATTTGGATAATATGTCCGAAAGTGCTTCATAAGTCAAGAAAGTTGTATAAACAGTAATAAAAGGTGGGAAATGTCCAAGTTTTTGTATTCTACCCAGCTCCCTGGTACATTTCAGATTTAATATGAAGCTTGAGCAAAAGGGCAGTACTGATCCCACTTGTGGCCCATCTCTTCTGTATAGACACATTTTTACTTTCCAAACCTGTTGTGATCCCCCAGCTAAAAGGAGGAGGAGAGCCATGACCTAACAACAGAGGGGCTCTAAGTCTCACACGCCTACCTATTCTGGTGTGTGAGAGACAGGACAGATGTAGGAGAAAGTGGCAGATATTTAGGTCAAAAGAAGAAGGCTGGGTCTCTTATCCTTGGTCTTTTTCTGTGTAGTAAAGTGAAGTCAGACCTGGGAAACCGAAGACATTCTAAGGATACCATAGCAGCTGCTCTTTAGTGTGTAAACAGTTTGGGTCTGTTTCTCTCCATTCTGACTTTCAACTCCTTCAAGCAGAAAGGGTTTGATTGGGTTGACTGGACACAATTCAGTATGGACCAGTTCTATGGGGCAGCCTTTGATCTACATGCCAGTTCTGGGGGCCAGCCCATTGAGGCCATAGTCGTAGAATTGGTTTCAGTCCTTTCCCTTTTATATGTTCATTCATTCAACACATTTTTTGGGTGACTACTATGTGCCAGGCTTGATTCTCAGGGATAAAACAAAAGGATCCTTTCTCAGAGATTAGGTTGTAGCAAGAGGGAGAGAATAATAAACATAAAAATAAAGAGATGATACAGTGTGTTAAAAGGTGATGAGGCCATGGAATAAGGCAAAAATAGAACAGGATAAGGGAGATTAAGAATGCTATGGATGGCCGGGCGCGGTGGCTCAAGCTTGTAATCCCAGCACTTTGGGAGGCCGAGGCGGGTGGATCACAAGGTCGAGAGATCGAGACCATCCTGGTCAACATGGTGAAACCCCGTCTCTACTAAAAATACAAAAAATTAGCTGGGCATGGTGGCATGTGCCTGTAATCCCAGCTACTCAGGAGGCTGAGGCAGGAGAATTGCCTGAACCCAGGAGGCGGAGGTTGCGGTGAGCCAAGATCGTGCCATTGCACTCCAGCCTGGGTAACAAGAGCGAAACTCCGTCTCAAAAAAAAAAAAAAAAAAAAAAAAGAATGCTATGGATAACGCAAACAGATTGTGATATTAAATGGAAGAATTCAGATAGACCCAGTTGAGAAGGTGAGTTGAACAAAGACTTGAAGGAAGTGAGAGAGAGAGCCTTGCTTTGATTTGAGGTGAGAGCTTTCCAGGAAGAGAGAAACACTAGAGCAAAGGTCTTATGATGGGAATGTACCTTGGATAATTGTGGATTTGAAAGTCATAAAGTATGGTAGTCCCCACTGTTAAAGGGGGATACGTTTCAAGACCCCCAGTAGATGCCTGAAACCCAGAATAATACTGAACCCTGTATACTATTTTTTTCTATGCATACCTAAGATAAAGTTTAATTTATAAATTAAGCATCATAAGAGATAACAATAATAAGTGGACCAATTATAATAATATGCCAACCTCACTACTTTTGCACTTTGGGGCCACTTTGAAGTAAAATAAGGGTATGTAAACATAAGCACTGTGACACCGCAACAGTCAATCTGGTAACCAAATGGCTGCTAGGTGTGTAACAGGCAAGCAGCATGTACAGTGTGGATATGCTGGACAAAAGGAGGACTCGTGACCTGGGTGAGTCCAGATGACATGAGTTTTCATCATACTAAGAATGGTGCCAAATTTAAAACTTAGGAATTGTTTGTTTCTGGCATCTTCCATTTAGCATATTTGAACTGTGGTTTACTGTGCGTAGCTCAGACTTTGTAAGGCAAAACCACAGATAAGTGGGGACTACTGTACTGCCTGAAGAGCACCTAGAACAGTAGACATTTAATACCTGTTCTGAAAATGAATGAATAAGTACATGAAGTAACTTTCCTTGGAAAGGGTTACTTTGAGGTTATCTCAGGGAGAGAGGTCTAAGTGAAAACTCCAGAGAAGCCAACCTGATCTTTACCCATCCCTTCCCATGAAGAAGTATAAAAAAATACTGCCAGCCGGGTATGGTGGCTCACACCTGTAATCCCAGCATATTGGGAGGCCAAGGTGAGTGAATCACCTGAGGTCAGGAGTTTGAGATCAGCCTGACCAAGATGGTGAAACCCCATCTCTACTAAAAATACAAAATTAGTTGGGTTTGGGGGGTGTGTGCCTGTAGTTTCAACTACTTGGGAGGCTGAGGCAGGATAATCACTTAAACCCGGGAAGTGGAGGCTGTAGTGAGATGAGATCACACCATTGCACTTCAGCCTGGGCTACGGAGCAATACTCTGTCTCAAACAAACAAAAAACTTTCCCGGGCCAAGTCTACATGGGGATGAACTGACCTATGTTTTGCAAAAGAGGACAAACTTTCCTCCTTACCTTGGGGAAGGTGTTACCCCACTGGCCCTTCTGTTTTTAGCTCACTTGCTTTAGACTCAGGGAAAAAGTGACATTTACCTAGTCTTTTTCTTTGTTTCAGATGAGATGACCAAGACTGAGGACAGAGAGTTGGTGCTAAGGAAAGACTGTCTTAAGATAGTGGAACCACATGGGAAAATGTTTAATGAGCAGACCTGGGAGGTATCACAGCAGGATCTCCCACATAGAGAAGTTGGTGAACATAAGGATAGGATACAGAGGCAGTGGGGAAACCTCTCAGGAGAGGGGCAACACAAATGTGATGAATGTGGGAAGAGCTTTACTCAGAGCTCAGGTCTCATTCGACATCAAAGAATTCACACTGGAGAAAGACCTTATGAATGTAATGTATGTGGGAAAGCCTTCAGTCGAAGTTCTGGTCTTTTTAATCACCGAGGAATCCACAATATACAGAAACGGTACCACTGTAAGGAGTGTGGGAAGGCCTTCAGTCAGAGTGCAGGTCTTATCCAGCATCAGAGAATACACAAAGGAGAAAAGCCATATGAGTGCAACCAGTGCAGTAAGAGCTACAGTCGGCGTTCATTTCTCGTTGAACATCTGAGAAGCCACACGGGGGAGCGACCTCACCAGTGCATTGAATGTGGGAAAAGTTTTAATAGACACTGCAACCTCATTCGCCATCAGAAGATCCACACAGTGGCTGAGCTGGTCTAGGACTTGCTATGATCAAGTTTACCAGATCACCAGCCAAGTCGTGTGGAGTAGGTTGAGGCTAGAAAATGCCTCTCCTTTCCTTTCTCCATGAAGTATGTTTGAAACAAATATTGACTTGTGGCCCAGGGACTTCCTAAAAGGAAAGTTGGGTGTTCGAAGCTACTGTTTTCTCTTTTGTTCATTTTACTTGCTTATTTTTTTTTCTTTTTTATTGCATTTTAGGTTTGGGGGTATTTGTGAAGAACATGCAAGATTGTTGCATAGGTACACAAGCAGCAGTGTGATTTGCTGCCTTCCTCCCCTTCACCTATATCTGGCATTTCTCCCCATGCTGTCTCTCCCCAACTCCCCACCCCCCACTGTTCCTCCCCCATTTCCCCCTAACAGACCCCAGTGTGTGGTGCTCCCCTCCCTGTGTCCGTGTGTTCTCATTGTTCAGCACCCACCTATGAGTGAGAACATGTGGTGTTTGATTTTCTGTTCTTGTGTCAGTTTGCTGAGAATGATGGTTTCCAGGTTCATCCATGTCCCTACAAAGGACACAAAGTCATCGTTTTTGATGGCTGCATAATATTCCATGGTGTATATGTGCCACATTTTCCCTGTCCAGTCTATCATCGATGGGCATTTGGGTTGGTTCCAGGTCTTTGCTATTGTAAACTGCTGCAGTGAACATTCGTGTGCATGTGTCCTTATAGTAGAACGATTTATAATCCTTTGGATATATACCCAATAATGGGATTGCTGGGTCAAATGGAATTTTTATTTCTAGGTCCTTGAGGAATCGCCACACTGTCTTCCACAATGGTTGAACTAATTTACACTCCCACCAACAGTATAAAAGTATTCCTGTTTCTCTACATCCTCTCCAGCATCTGTTGTCTTCAGATTTTTTAATGATTGCCATTCTGACTGGCGTGAGATGGTATCTCAATGTAGTTTTGATTTGCATTTCTCTAATGACTAGTGATGATGAGCATTTTTTCATGTTTGTTTGGCCTCATGTATGTCTTCTTTTGTAAAGTGTTCATATCCTTCACCCACTTTTGAATGGACTTGTTTGTTTTTTTCTTGTAAATCTGTTTTAGTTCTTTGTAAATTCCGGATATCAGCCCCTTGTCAGATGGGTAGACTGCAAAAATTTTTTCCCATTCTGTTGGTTGCCGATTCACTCTAATGACTGTTTCTTTTGCCGTGCAGAAGCTGTGGAGTTTGATTAGGTCCCATTTGTCTATTTTGGCTTTTGTTCACAATGCTTTTGGTGTTTTGGTCATGAAGTCCTTGCCTATGCCTATGTCCTGAATGGTTTTGCCTAGATTTTCTTCTAGGGTTTTGATGGTGTTAGGTCTTATGTTTAAGTCTTTAATCCATCTGGAGTTAATTTTAGTGTAAGGTGTCAGGAAGGGGTCCTGTTTCTGCTTTCTGCACATGGCTAGCCAGTTTTCCCAACACCATTTATTAAACAGGGAATCCTTTCCCCATTGCTTGTTTTTGTCAGGTTTGTCAAAGATCGGATGGTTGTAGATATGTTGTGTTGCCTCCGAGGCCTCTGTTCTGTTTATACCTCCTTATTATTACTAGCTGTGTCCCTCTTATTTTTTATTATTATTTTTGAGATGGCTGCTAAACCCTTCTGATAATGTAATAAATGGCAGTGCTAGAGCTAACATGCCTGAAAGATTTGGTATCTGTGTTTAACTCCAAAGGTTAACAGAGCTCTACTGATGGTTTATAGCAAATGGGTCTTTGGTTTATAGTATAAACACCTTTTGCACCTTACTGCTTCCCTCTGACACCAACATGACTCTCCCTTGGAAAGTGACCAGCATGGGCTGTGTGCTTCAGTGTTTGCAGTGTGTCCATTTACTTAACCATAGTTGGTCTTCACAACAGCCACACAGGGAAATGAGCATTGTTACTATCCCATTTTACAGATGAGGAATCTAAGGCTCAGAAAATCTAAGCATTAGAGCCAAGGCTGAAACCCTGAACTTTTATTTTTAGTAGTGCTTTAATTTTGGAATAATTTTAGACTTACAGAAATGTTGCAAAGATAAAGTTCTCATATTTCCTTCACCTAGATTCCCCTAATGTTAACTTATAACATCACACCTTTTTTAGTCAAACCTTGGCTTTTTACTCCAAATCCCAGTTTCTTTACGATGTCATGCTTCATGCTGATAGCAGATTTCTACATTTAAGTTTAGTCATCTGCAACTCCCTTAAGAATTTTTCTAACACATCTTCAGTGTTAGAAAGTCATTTGTATCCTGAGTACCAGGCCACGTCGGAGAACTGGATTAATCCAAATAAGATGCTAGCTACTGTCTGAAATCTGTCTTTCTCTTTTTGCTTGGCTTAGTCTAGAGAAAAAATGTCTTCCCTGTGTAGATCTCTAAGAATAACGATTATACCCCAGGTGTGATGGTACAAGCCTGTAACCCCACAGCTTCGAGAGGCCAAGGCAGCAGTATTGCTTGAGGCCAGGAGTTTTAAGACCAGTCTGTGCAAAGTAGTAAGACCCTGTTTCTACAAAAAAAACTTAAAATAGCTGGGTGTGGTGATGTGTGCCTATAGTCCCCAGATACTCAGGAAGCTGAGGTGAGAGGATCACTTGAACTCAAGAGGTTGAGACTGCAGTGATCATGCCACTGCACTCCAGCCTGGCCACAGAGAGAGACCCTGTCTCAAAAAACAGGCCAGGCGCAGTGGCTCACGCCTGTAATCCCAGCACTTTGGGAGGCTGAGGAGGGCAGATCACGAGGTTAGAAGTTCAAAACCAGTCTGGCCAACATAGTGAAACCCCCATCTCTACTAAAAATACAAAAATTAGCAGGGTGTGGTGGCGCACACCTGTAGTCCCAGCTACTCAGGAGACTGAGGTAGGAGAATTGCTTGAACTTGGGAGGGGAGGTCACAGTGAACCAAGACCATGCCATTGCACTCCAGCCTGGGTAACAGTGAGACTCCATCTCAAAAAACAAACCACGCAAACAACAACAACAACAAAACCAGAAACCTTGTCTGTTAAAAAAAAAAAAAAAAATCAGTTACACTGCCTGCATCAACAAATTTTTAAAAAAATCAGACAAGGCTTACCGTAGCCTTAAGTGTTCTTCCCCAAAGGAGGCTCTTTCTCAGTGAAGTTTACTCATGGAGAGGAGGAATCTCCCCTTCTTAGGACTAAAGACTTGAGGCTTGAGGTTCCCCAAGGCTCTCTTTGCCTGCCCTCCCTTTACCTTTTGTGATTACTAACCTGCAACCCATCTCTTTCATCTATTTGACCTAATGTTCAGAGGTTTCCTGAGAGATGGAAAAATGCTACAATTTGCTGAGGACAAGTCCATACACAGTTTGAGCTTTGCACTGTTTTCAGTAACTTCTAAATGTGTTGCTGAGCAGCCAACTCTTGAATTGAGGATTGTATAACTTTTATGGCAGAGTCAAACAGAAGTGGAATACCATAGTGAACCCCCATGACTTCTTGACAAAAAGAATCAAACTCTGTACATTATTTGAGGAGATTTATCCTGAGCCAAATATGAGTGACCATGGCCTGTGACACAGCCTCAGGAGGTCCTGAGAACATGTGGCCAAAGTGGTTGGGGTACAGCTTGGTTTTATATATATTAGGGAGGTATGAGATGTCAATCAAATACATTTAAGAAGTACATTGGGTTGGTTCAGAAAGGTGGGACAACTCAGAGCAGGGGCTTCCAGGCTATAGATAAATGTAAACATTTTCTGGTTGACAATTGTTGAGTTTATCTGAAGATGTGGGGTTAATGGAAAGGAATGTTTAGATTAAAATAAAAGATTGTGGAGACCAAGTTTTATTGTGCAGAGGAATATCTCAGATAGCAGACAGAGAGCAGTTTGTAAAATATTTCTTATGGTACCTAAAAGGGTGCCTGGCTCTTAGTTGATTATCTCCTGGATCTGGAAAGAAAGGAAGGGAAACAAAGGGGGGTGGGAATTCTCTGTAGAATGTGGATTTTTCCAACGGGAGACTGTAGGGCAATATCAGGGTATGGGAAGGTAATATATTTTGGGGTTAAATATTTTTCCTTATCTCACAGTGTTACGCCAGAGTCAAAAGTAAATCACAATATATAGAGTCAAGTAAAACTGGTCTGATGAGAAGTTATGGTTTGTAGATCATGACTCCCTAGACCCCTTAGGTAGGAATTCAGGCCAGATTAAAAAAATCAGAGCCTAGTCCTCAAACTCATCACCCACCTTCAACAGTTATCAACTTGTAGCCTATTTTGTTTCATTTATGCCTCCCCTTCCCCCTTCTTCTTTTGGATATCTCTTAAGTAAACTTAAAACTTGATGCAGGTTGAGAACATGAAGCAGATCTGGTGACTGTGTCCTCTCTTGATCTAAGTCTCTATCTTTTTTCTTGTTTCTCCACTGAATGAGTGGCCAAGGAATTTGGATTCTAAGTCAAAACCCTTAGCAACACTTTCCCATCAGAGGGAAAATAAATTACCTAATACTTAATATCACCTAAGAACTCCACAAAATATCAGCTTGAACTGGCATCCATTTCTCTTTTTGGATCAGGAAAAAGTTTTACACATTGTAGGGAAGCCTAAGAAGAATTTTTGTGCCATTGTAGATTTTTTTTTTTTTTTTTTTTTTTTTTTTGAGACGGAGTTTCGCTCTTGTTACCCAGGCTGGAGTGCAATGGCGCGATCCTGGCTCACTGCAACCTCCACCTCCTGGGTTCAGGCAATTCTGCCTCAGCCTCCTGAGTAGCTGGGATTACAGGCATGTGCCACCATACCCAGCTAATTTTTTTGTATTTTTAGTAGAGACGGTGTTTCACCATGTTAACCAGGATGGTCTCGATCTCTTGATTTCATGATCTCGTGATCCACCTGCCTCAGCCTCCCAAAGTGCTGAGATTATAGGCTTGAGCCACCGCGCCCGGCCTGTAGATTTAAAGGATAAACTCCAGGATCTTCTGACAGAAATGTTAAATATAATACCTTCCTACACCAAACAAATATTATGGGAATTAGTTATTACTGATGACATTAATCATCTTGAGTGAGATGAAATTCAAAAATTTAAATGTTAAAGTAGCCTCTTCTCTTTTTTGTATGTCTCAGTATCACACTGTATAGTAAAAAAAGAGTGGACCAGGAGTCGGGACCCCTGTTAAGGAGTCCATGCCTAAT